TTTCGCCCGCTTCTCAAAATGGCACAGCGGAGCTCACGCCAAGCTGGGCCGCATCTGACTCTACTTCGCAATTCTCGCGTCGCAACTCGCAAACACCAAGTGGGAGTAGACCGGAGTCACCCGTAGGAAATGCGCTGAAGGACGGTCACCGCGCGTCAATGCCTGTCTTGCCATCGAGTTCCGGAGGACCCCTGTCTACCGAAGACCCTAGGACCGCTTCATTGAGCGCACAAGGTACACGCACACCCCCGACAACCTTCGACGAAATTTCTGGTATCAATGCTGCCAATACGCTCCACCAAACAAACAGCAATCCCGCCAGGCCTAGCTCCGCAACCAAGAACGCAGCGGACCGCGTGTCGATTACAGGTTTTGGTTCCGGCGGGGTCGGTGAAAGAGCTCGAAACAAGGGACGCGGTCGTATTGGGATCGTGATCGGTACCTTGTACATGTGCGCAGGCCAGTGGGTCGAGGCTGTACGAGAGCTCACAGAAGCCGCGACAAGAGCACGTGCTCTAAGTGACCATTTGTGGCATGCTAAAGCTCTCGAACACATTATGGTCTGTATGCTCCTCTTTGCATGGTCAGGCATGGACTTCCAGGTTAGTCCAACTCTTACATGATGTCAGTCTGATCATCTTACTGACCATCAAGATACCCCCAATCTGCTATCCGACATCCGATAAGTCTGGAGGCAACAAGTCACCCACTCATACACCGTCGAGTAGTGTCTCTGACGTTTCGACTCCCGCCAAACCTCACAAACACGATAACGCACTGGACGCTCTGAACTCTATGCTTCCAGACATGGTCAACATGATACTGAACCTATATACCCGTGCGGCCAATTTCGCTGGCGAATCTTTGCCGCCGCTCGCGTTTTCGGAATGTGTAATACGCTTCTCCAAGTTGCTGGCCGCCATCAACTTGTCCGGAGGCTTTCTAGATGATGATGCATTGCGCCAGCTTGTGCAGAATACGCCATACAAGCAAAAGCCACGCCTTTCGGTTCCGAGGCTTAGTGTACACCCTACGCGTAATGATATAGCGTCTATGCTATTTCGTGCATTACCTGGACCAGCGGAGAGCTCGGGCATGAACTCCACAGACCGCGTCGTAGTACTTGCTGGTGTTGCCTCGATCTTATCGTCCTTGGGGCTACAACGCAAGAAAGCCATCGTCATGAAGGAGTTTATCACATCCTTGGTTCCTGGCTTAATCCAGGCCCGCAAGGTTGGTGCAGCAGAGATGGGAGTTCATCCAGCTGCTGGCCTTGCGGCTCTCAACATCGCAAGCGGCGGTAGCTCCGGGAGTGGCGCTCTCAATCTAGGCGAAGGCGAAGTCGAGAATGGGATAGAGGAATTCCTCGGCTTGCTAGGCCGGATATACGGGATACCCAATTCGAAAGGAAACATGCCCAATATTGGGATGCGCAGTCAGAGAGATGAGAACGCAGAAAGTGCATCGGACAGTATTGCTAGTCAACGCGTCGTTGACACCATACTGGCAATATCGTCTTTGCGCTCTTTCGGAAGTTTGAGTCTCAAGCTAGAGATATTACGAACGTGTCTGAGTTTCTGCGAAGCACTACCAGACTTTAATGGCGTCCTCCATTTCACTGCTCTCTTGCTTCGGGTGGCGGGTCCCGGAACAGCACCGAGACCTAATAGCACCGACGTGTTCGTCTCTCTTCCCCGAGATGAGCAGATCCGACTCTACTCCAATATTTCGAGAACCGTCACTGCCGCTAAGAAGCTTGGACTACAACATGTAGAAACAGAATACTGGGATGACTTCCTCGTGCGCGGGTTGTTCATCCTTGAGGAAATTGAACCTCTCCGATTGACTCAAAGACAGGGGATCGAGTTGAAGTCGGACAGCCAAGGAAAAGACGGCCCTTTTCTTCACAATGCCTGGCTGAAGAAGCCGCAAACAAATGCTGCAAATACAGTCCTGGTTGCGAATGAGCACTATCGCTTCGTCATAGCCATGCAGAATCCATATGAGTTTGAGCTTGGCGTAGAGTCGTTGAAGATAGCTGCTGAAGGTGTTGAGTTTGTCGCGCTGGAGGAACACTTCCTACTGGGCCCTTACAGGACTCAGAAGTTTCAGATCACAGGAACTGCGCGGACATCAGGGTCGTTGAAGATCATTGGATGCTACGTCAAGCTTATCGGCTGCAGAGAGCGGCTGTTCCCGATATTCCCAGAGCCATGGAAGCCGAAGAGAGAAGCTAAAATGAAGCGCATGGGCCTCAAGGCATGTTTAGGGGCACCGACATCCCGGCCCTCCTCGGCAATCGCACCATCCATCGACAGTAGAGCAACTTCTCAGCCAAAGCCAGAGTCTTTGACGTTTTCGGTAATCCCAGACCAGCCCGTCATTATCATTACCAATGTTTCGTTACCGCAGTCAGCCGTCATGGTGCTTGAAGGAGAAAGGAAACGATTTACTGTTACAGTGAAGAATACTTCGACTGAAACAACTGTCGACTTCGTCCACATCTCTTTCCAAGATACGGCGACCACTGCGATACAAGCGGCGACTTCCAACAAAGACCTGCCTGCAGCCGAATTGCATGAGTTGGAAGTCCAGCTCGCCCATCATCCGTCCTTGCGTTGGTGCAAGGATGAGGCCGAGGAATCACCGAGCATCAAGCCTGGCGCTGAAGCGCAGTTTACCATCGAGGTTATTGGTCGCACAAGACTGACGGATGCGACTATACAAATCGACTATGCCAACCTTGGAAAGAGAAGATCGGAAGTAGAGGAGCACTTCTTCACCCGTCAGGTATCCGCGCCCATCTCGATCACCGTCAATGCGAGTGTGCAGCTTCAGCGGCCGGACATAGTACCCTTATCCGGCGACATTGCCTGGTCTAGCGATGCATCCTCAGGCTCGCGCACTCAATCAGTTGACGAAGCCTCGCAATCGCGGTCATCTGGCAAAGCCGATGGTCATCTTCGCTCTTTCATCAGTCAAAAGCGGAGTGATGATAGCGATGAAGAGTACTGCATGCTCCTCTTAGATCTTAGGAACTCCTGGCCAAACCCGCTCTCGATATTGCTCCAAGCCCGAAAGCCCGTGGCTGACGGTAATTACACCAACGACTCATGGGACGAAGCGCATAGTGTGAACGAAGTCATACAACCGGGGCATGTCAGCAGGGTCGTCATGATCCTTCCAAAGGTTTATTTGAAAGCGCCACATGCGGCTGTACCATCACTCAATCCCGCCAACCAACGCCAATTCGTCGTCAGCACGAGCAAGATCTCCCCCGAAACAGAACGAGCGAGCCGAGAAGCTTTCTGGTACCGCGAAGAGCTACTCAAGATCGTGCGTGGAACCTGGACTGAGGATGGTAATGGACGTCACGGCGAACTGGAATTGCGCAGCATCCGCTTCACGCCACGCATGGTCGAGGCCATCAAGCTTGACGATCTCGCCATCAAAACGACCATCGCCTCTGACTACCCTGCAGCGGGCGACGAAGAAGCTGTGCGACAAGTCGGTCGCGCAAAGTTCGAGGTACCGATAGACGAATTCCTTACCATGAAGACGTTCGTCCGCAACCGAAGTCCACGTCCCATCTCACCGATACTCAGACTACAGCCTCACGTCGCTGGTCTGCCTCATAACGTCGCCCTGGATCTGGATAAGCGTTTCTCGTGGACAGGTGTGCTGCAGCGCAAGTTGCCGGTCATACAGCCTGGAGAGACGGCAGAGTCTGAGCTTGGTATTGTTGCACTGTGTGGTGGTACATACGAGGTTGGTGCAACGGTTGACGAAGCGGAGTTCATCAAGATGAGTGGTGGAGACGAGGACGATAAGAAGAACGATGATCAAATGCTGCTTCAGGGTGGCAATGTCCTGGGCGAGCCGAAGCTTCGGACGTGGTACATGACGGAGCCGTGTACTATCGTTGCGAAGAGATGAGGTGGAGAGGAGGTTAGACTAGATGGATGAGATAGATCTTATGATGCTTGTTTCACGTATCATTCTTCAGTCGACAACAGTCCCGTGATCACATGATGACGAGCAGCAAACTTTGAGCGAGGTATATGAGGTGACACTCTGAGCCCTTCTGACATAAGCCAAACCGCCCCAGAATGCCCAATTTACTTAGTCTACCTACCGAATTAATTACGCTCATCGCTTCGTTTCTCAGGGCAGGAGTCCTAGGTCTCCTCCGCCTCGTGAACAAAGAACTTCACACAAAGACATGGCGCAGCTTCTGTCTTCGTTTCCAAACCGTGAAGGTATCTCTAATTCGCATCAGCATACAAGCACTGAGCGACGCTACGTTATCCCCCGATATCGCCAACGAGATCAAGCACATGATCATCGGCACCGAAACCCTTGAACAATACGAACATGTACCTACATCATATCCCCGTGCTCTGCGTGCTATGATAGCCACCGAGGGCAAAGCCGTCGACTTGCGCATTTGGCTGCAAAACATCATCGTCCAAAAGCTGCCGAATCTGCGTACAATCACATTAGAAGACCGTCCCGAAGATCCAGACAGCGAAGACTACCGTCCAAGTATGGGAAGCGTGGAGCTCCTGCGAAGAGCTGGCGTCGATTTGAGCTTGAACGGACCATACGGTGTATCAATCTGGGACAATCCCCGTCGAGGAGACGATCGTTATGGTAGTGGATTTTCGGGTCGTGATACGAGGTCATCGGATTCGGGGGCAGGAGGAAAGCGATATTAGAGAAGCTTTTGACATGACGGATGGGTATACTAAAGAGGTACTTGACGCTCATCTTACGCAGATTACGGTGGGTGAGGATGGAAGTAGGTATCTTGTCACAGATGGATTTTTAAGCTTTGTGCAAGGTCTTCGCGATTATGCGCTAGGTAAGGGCATTTTGTTGGTTGAACGGTCGGCTGACGGGCAGTTTGCCTGAGCTCACAGGTGATGGAGGGCGTGGTTATCATCTCAACGGTCTGCGTTGTATGATTCTGAAGGAGAATGACATTGCGCGAGCTATCGCTATTCGAAACAATCGGTCGTCTCAAGTTCCGACCCCTCGGCGTCTACATGCCGCTCGATGCCTTCTGTTTGACCAGGTGACACGGTTGTACACGTCTCTACTGGTATACCACTGATGTCATCGCTCGCAGGTCGCGCTGGCGCCTGACTCGCTGTCGTCAATAGTCGAGTGAGCTCCTCCAATTTGGCCTTGACTTCTGACTGTTGTGCTACAATCCGCTGCAATGCTTCTTCGCCCCTGGTAGCTGAACTATGCTCTGGTCAACTAGGAAACGTAGAGGCTCACTGTTTACACTCACGAATTTGCCATCGAGACCTGAAGGGAAAGAACTCGTGATCGCAAGGTGTCTCTGTACCGCACATTTTCCAGGACCTTCTCTTGGACTCGATACCAGCGCACTAAAGTCGGAGATGAACCCACTGTCAATATCGTTTGCAACGCGTCTACTAGGTTCTTCGAGAATACCTGGTCCGCTGGGATAAGGCTACTCCAAAGGCCGAGGACTGTTTCTATTGAAGGACCCCGCATTGAAGTACCCGAGATCTTTGACCGTGCTCTTGCAGTTGTGAGATCAATACTGTCAGTATCGTGAAAGGAGGCCAAGACACTTTGCAGGCTGACCACGCTTTGATAGGTCTCATCAACCCCCTTCGCGTACATACAGTACATGTAGATAAATATTTCGGTAGCATTCAAATCCGCACTCAGGTTCTTCAATCGACGAAGATCGGGTTCGTCGCCTTGCTCCGTGATGTAACGTTTCCGGAGGTCTGATGGGTTTTCCCTGCTCATCCTCATCAAATCCTGGACGTTATCCTCAACCGACTCTCGAATGATCTCCAGTTCGAGTCTGCCATTGCGTAAAGATGCAATGCGAACATAGATGGACGCCAAGATGGCAACGGCGAAGGTGAGGAGGCCGGCGATGTTGGCGGCGATGGAAAGCGGGCTATCCTCCATCGGTATTAGCGTGGGTACAACCGTGCCGAACCAGGCGTTAGTTTGAATGGGCGAGGACCTGGCGCCGGCCGTGTTTGTCAGTCCTCTGGCTTCGCTACCTGGCCTAGTACAGCGATGAAGGAAGAGGTTGAAGGAGCCTGTTATCGACAAGGCTAGCATCGCGCAATGAAACTCTCCAGCTGACCCCTCCGCTGAAGTAAGCAGTGGCTGCATCGTGGCGTCCAACGAGGCTACCTTATCCTGCATGCACGCTCCAGCCGCGCAGCCTATGCCTGCTGACAGACACATCGCAGTCTTGCTGATATCAGTACCAGCATTGATGGCCTCGTGATTTCTTGGACTGACTCCACGCTTCCCGGTACATCAGCAGATTACCAGCCGCACAATAACCCACGGTGCCATACAGCGATCTTCATCATCGCCATCGTCATCATCGCCCCCGCAAGACGCGTCCATCGGGGTAGAAGCTCCCATGGGTCATTGTAGCATCGCTTTTGAACGTCCTGCTACAGGCTCTCCACCACTCATAGCCCGTGTGCGGAAACATGTAGTTCAAGCATTTGGGGAACCGCGCGCGGCAACAGCACATAGAAGCTTGCTCAAGGAGTTTTGAAGAAACGACTCAACCGCCCAAGAGTGCACATAACAGGCTTTTCGGCGAGCCCAATATAGTGGTGGAAGATGACAGGAAGGAGAGGATACCTAGGTAGGCTGACAGGCCTTTTATATCTCTTGCAAGCGAGCTCTGCCACATGTAGAGGACGATGCTGCATTTCGAGCAGTCTGGCCGCGACATCGGAATGCGTACAGGTTGTTTGTGAGGCATGTGGCGTCGCTACCACAGTTTTCGGCGCCCAAGCTCATGGGGTTCGTGGTACGTTGTTTGAGGATGCAGCAGGAGCGCGCATACGATCTTTGTGTGGGATTTTGAGGTAACAGTGCTGCACCAGTCATAAGATCTTTGACGTCTTTTTTTAGTAACCAGATTTCCAAGAGCGAAGTCCGGGAAGGAAGCAGAGACCCATGGTTTCTCGATGTGCGCAGTTTATCGTCGACGCCAGCAACAAAACATCGCGTAATGTTGCCGTTGTTTGAATATTTGTCTTTGATGTAGTTTCTGGCGGAGGACAACATTTCTCGCTCATGGCAGCGACGCCGATCGTTTTAGAAGAAGAGAGGACGAGCAGCCAAAGCACTCATGGCAGGTAATTGTTAAGTTTTGAGAAAGAGCCAGAGAGGCCATCCAGGGTGGGCCTGCGGATTTTGGAAAAGCCAACAAGAGCTTGGGATATAGAATGAAGAAACTCTCAGCGAGGGAGAAGCTTTTATGCACGCAGCGCTGGCGCTAATCATAGCTGTAGTCGCTGCAAGGTTCCAAAATTGGATCATGAGACTTCCATGAGATCGAAACGCGCTGGTCATAGCCGGCATCCTGGCATAGTTTGTTGCACAAGACCAGGACTCGCCATGGCACGTGATAATTTGGAATTTTAAGATGTGAGTAGAATGCAAGTTTTGAAGTCAAGCCGACAAGTTGGAAGGATATGTAAGCGTCGCCCACAGGCGAGCCAAGTCATGGCGCTCGACGCAGTTGGATTTTGGAAAAAATGTAGGAAGTTGGTTGATGTAGAAGAGAAGAAGCAGAGGACGCGCAGAAGCTTTTATATGCGATCCACCGTACCGCTGAAGTCATGTTGTATGCATCTTGGTTTTTCAGAGGCACACTGCTCATGTGTATACCCCACAGTCGTCTTTCGGAACTGGTCCTAGTTCTCCATAATCATAGCGTCGATGCTTTTGGCGACAACGGAAGAAGAGAGGACATAATTCTGTATGTCGTTGCTTTGAGAAGCGGACAAACGTCCATGCGTGCCAATTCTCGTGGTTTTGGTAAAAAATGAAGGAATTGGCAGGTAAAGAAGGCCAGGAAGGCACAACGGCAGAAGGTCTTTTATACCGAGCTTCCGAGGTGTGGATGCGGCAGATCTGGGCCCGCGAGATCATTGCCATTTCCTGGGATTGTTTTGGGAAGTAAACTCCGCATAACGAGCTGTCCCGTCGATTTTGAGTATGATGTAGCTGCCAGAGAACCACTTTTGGAGCGATCGCACGAGGAGAGGACCGAACAGACATTGGTCATGGCGAGAGCTTTTTTGGGAAAAAGAGCAGAAAGCACATGCATGGGAACGATTAACGTTTTGGAAAACCACAGGAAGAGTGTAACATAGAAAGCAACTCCCCAAGCCGACAAGAGAAGACTTTATAACCCCCCTCTCTAGTCCCGAGGACCGACATGGGTTGGCGACAATGAGTTTTGTCCAGAGGCGCTGCTCATCATCCAGTCACCCGTCCTTTTTGGTTCTTCCCACGAACACTGCGACATCGGGTATTCGCACATGTGGTTTTAGAAAGGCGAAAAGGAAGGACAGCTCATCGTGCGGGAACTCGGGGTTTTCTGGACGGGAGAAGAGCCATAAAAGGGAGGCATGCTTGTTTTGGAGTAGAGCACCGGAAAAAGAGGTGGTAATGAGGAAGGTCAGGAGTGCAGAATCGAAGATATTTTATAGCTGCAATAGCCTAATACCAGATCCTCTGCTCGCAATCATGGCTTCCTGCACTGGCGATTTTGATAACAACGGGGTTCTTGGGATAATGTATGGGCATGCGCGATGTCTAATCTCCAGAGCATAACCTCGTAGTCGTGAGTTTTTGAATGCTAGAGTAACAGCGACAGACCGCGAGCCGCAGACATGCCATGGCGACATTGCGATTTTTGGAGGAAGAAGCTCAGAACAGCCATTCAAGGAAATGGTGCCGTTTTTTGGTAAATCCCCGGAAGGAGTGGTGTATAGGAAGCAAGAAGAGAAGAGGGTAGAGAGGATCTTTTATATCTCATCTTCATCTCGTCTTCTCCCAGCCATGTGAACGACGTCACGGACTTTTCAGAAGTTTTGCTACTCAGCACAGCTCACTCCATTATCTGTATCACAACCTATTTTGGAGCCGCACAGTACCTCTCATGTGAATTGAAGAAAGACATTTGTTGTGGGGAGAAGGTGAAAGTAGAAAGAAGTCAACGCACTCAATCATCGAACTGGAGCATCGTATCATTGTTTCAGAGAGGGAGAAGACCGAGAGCCAACATTGTAGGCTCGTGTAGCTTTTTTGGTAGAATACGAAGAGGTCGCTGAGGCACCAACATAAGATGGGAATCGAGGGAAGTATTTTTGAATGCGTTGTTCTCGGTCGTGGACTCTCATGGATTGCCCTTTGAATCCTTTTGGTAGAAAGCACACAAGAAGTGTGGGAATAAAGAAGTGAAAGGAAGACGCAGAGGGGAATTTTATACGCCACCGCCAGCATCTCCACTCTCCATGGTTTGTTGGGTGAATATTTTGTATGCGCAGCGCAGGAAGCAGTGCTCTCCATGGCACCTTTTCCAGACCATTTGGATAACGATCACAGTCTCCATGAACGTGTTCCAGTCTTTTTTGACCGCCGGTAATAAAGAAGAGGGCAGCGCAAGCGCACATGTTCATTGTTGAATCGTCATTTTGAAAAAGAGGAGCAGAAGCCAACATACCCTTACCCTCAACATTTTTGGTATAAGAAGGAGGAAGGTAGTAGTTGTAGAAGACAAGAAGCCAGAAGAGCAAGAGGACGTATTTATACATCTCTCGTGTCCGGTCCCGAGCATAATGTCCCACTCCAGAGCGTTGAGTATCCAGCCAGCGGCACCAGTCTCACGGCTCATCATATTGGTCCGTTCGTATTTTGATTGCAACAACGATCGTCTTCCACATGAACTGTGTTTCCCAAGTGTTTGGAAGAAGCCGAGGCGGAGAACGCACATGAGTCGATCGTTACTTGCATTTTGAAGAAGCCGAGGCGGAGAGCGCACACATGATGATTGTGGCTTTCATGTTTGAGAGAAGAAGGCCGGCGCACACATCCCTTCTCCATTCTCGGTTTTGGAAAACATCCAGGTTGATGTGGACGATTTTGAAGAAAGCAGCGAGCCAGGAGAAGTGTTTTATACGCTTCCGACAGCCGGGCCAGAGGAACCATAATCGGATTTAAGAATGGTTTTGGAACAGCACAGTCACTGGCGCCATGGCATCAGTTTTTTGCTTTTTGTAAAGGTTCTTGGCGGAGATTCTTCTCATGGGACTCGGAGGTTGGATTTTGGGAAATAGGTATGGAAAGACAGGCGGAGGGCGCGCACATGAGTTCCGTTTTTCTATCTTTTGAAGAGAGCCGCCAGGGCAAACATGCGAGTACTCCGCGCGTTTTTTTCGGACAGAGGTGTAGGAAGATGTAGAATGAAAGAGAGGGAGGAAGCAACGAAAAGAGGGTTTATATACCCCCTAGCGCAAAAAGCCACAATCACATGCACCAAGCATCTCCCAAATTTGAGTGAAGCAAAGACACCAAAGTCTGATCATCATTGCATAATCCATCCGATCATCAATCTATCATATACCCACCCCGCAGTCTACGCAAAGAATGATGTAAAGAAAGAAGAAAGAGACTCCTGTAAATGCCCATAACCATCATGTATACTTCATGAAAGCATCTTAACCAAGCGTCAAAAGAGCCGTTACCATAGGGCAAGCATTAGGGAGAGAAGAACACAAACCCCCGAAAAGTAATGGCAACCCACCATCCATAGTAATATACACATATCGCAAAAACCTTCTTGTAATCAATCCCAATCAAACGACAATCGCTCCTAGTTGTTTGCCAGCGTAGGCGCGCGTCTGAGCTTGTAATCCGGGAGATGGTCAAAGTCATCTGTTTCGGAGTTGTATCGCCAGGCCTTGAATTCCACGCCGTAGGGCTTGGGTTCCAGCTGGTACAGCATACCCAGTGGGCAATCCAGATCGGCCACGTCCTCGCGCTTGAGGCCCTGGAAGTATGCCAGTAGCACGCGGGCTACGCTTCGGTGTGTGATAAGCAGGCAGTGGTCTGTCATGCGCTCGAGCTCTACGATAACGGGG